CCTGCCACGAAATCTGCACTCCAAGGCCCACAAAGTCCTGCACCTGCCACCAACTCTACACTTCCACACCCACAAAGTCCTGCATCTGCCACGAAATCTGCACTTCAAGGTCCACAAAGTCCTGCGCTTGCCACAAAATCTGCACTCCAAGGGCCACAAAGTACTACACCTGCCACGAAATCTGCACTTCAAGGCCCACAAAAAGTCCTGCGCCTGCCACAAGCTCTGCACTCCAAGGCCCACAAAGTCCTGCACCTGCCACGAAATGTGCTTTGCAAGGTCCACAAAGTACTGCACCTGCCACGAAACACGAAAAACAAAGAACGTTAAAAAAAAACGAAAAAATCCAGAAATATATTCGCAACCTTTAGAATCTGGCTTCTCATGCTTGTTCTTGTTCGAGCATCCAGTTCAAATGCCGAGTTTTCTCCAATGTTTGCATTGCCTTCCTTGGCAGGGGTTGGCTGCCAAGGGTCCCAGAACACGGCAGGCGCACAGGGGGGGAGTGGAATTTGGTGAGCCAAAAGCAGATGAGCCAAAGTGAAGCTAGCGTAGAAAGGTTGCAGGCACCATCTCCGCCTGCATCCGCCTGCGTCCGCCATCACACCTTCAGACCTTCATAGTCTTTGAGTGGTGCCTGCGGGCCTGCGGGTGCCTGGATTCCCTCGTCTTACAACCGATGGGGTCCGGGGTGCTTGGGTGCTGGATGGATTTGGTGGAGGCCTCTGCCCATGCCACTGCGGAGATCGGCGATCCCACGCAAACGCCCGACGTGCTGGGCGAGGCCTGTGGGGGAGTCCAAACAAGTCCGAGACAGGTAGTGAATCAGCACTTTTTGAGAAAACAAGAGTGGACCAAGGAACGAAAAAGAAACTATTTACTTCACTTACTTTGTCCTTACTTCAGGGGGTGCTATGTAAACATGGTTTTGGAGTTATGGGGGCGCGCGTCAGGAATTGCAGCAGAAGGGCCTGGAAGGGGTCTATGCTTTGATTTTCATTCTGGCCAAGCTCTTTGCGACACCTGCTGAAGATTTATTGGATGAATGCCTTCCCAATCCCTTCACGACAAAAGGGTCCACTATGGTCCACTGAGATAGTGCATTTGGCAAGGTTGGAGGTGCAGACGCCATCACAAAACAGGTAGGTTTACACATCTTTGGAGAAAATCCTCATTGTTTTGCAGTTGTTTTCGTCTTCTTGTTTTCTTCTCTTGGGTGTGGAAAGGTTCGCAGTTCCTGCACCGTGTTTTGCGCATCTCAGGAGCCCACAGAATGCATTCCTGGCGATGGAGCCGGAGCAGCTTCGCTTGCAAGGGTGTGTAAAGGGCCGGTTGCAAGAACTCGTTACTAATTTTGACTGTTGACTAATAGAAGCGAAAGAGGTGTTTTATCATCCAGATAGGGTTCCTTCTTCATCGATTGTCAACATTACTTATGAATACTTATTATGATGGCGACTTTATTGGCTCAGAAGTTGACGACGGATGATCATTGCCTCCAGCCCAACAGTGCCCAAGAAAGGACTATGAAGGACTGGCTGGACATCACGCATAACCCCGTTTGTTGCATGTTACGTGGGCCGCATCCTGATGAATCGCCCTGCAAGTTGACCCGCGCAGGAAACTCCATGGGTAGCATTGGTTGTGAAGAGCCCCTGTAAACCTTGACAGGGATGGCACCGGCGGCTACGCCTGTCTTGAGGGAGAATGCATGCGCAGTCGTCGCAGTCGTTTAGACATGGCACCATTGGCTGCCTAAGGAACGGACAAGTGAGCACCCTTGGTCTCGAGAACTTCTTACGGAGGCCTGGGGAGAGGGGGATCCAGGCGCTAAGCACCAGATGGCGCCAAGCACATGGTCCAAGTGAGCGGGCACGTCGTTCATTCACGGGGAACCCGCATGATACGACCTTTCGTTGGTGTGTTTGGGAGCTAGCCCCACATGAATTCCCCATTGAATCATTGGACGCTGGCTGCCTGAAGAAATACATCAGAGACCTTTTGGAGGCAAATCCGCCACGATGTGGAAGCCTTGACGGGCCTCAAAGTGGTTCAGCTTTTCAAAGAGCTCGACAAGCGTGAAAATGGCTACATCTCCTTGGAGGAGCACCGCGATTCCCTCATACTTGGTGTGCCATGTCTCAAACCTGGCAGCTGAAACACACCCCCGTGAAAAAGTCGCCTCCCAGACTCCATATTCGGCTAAGTGACTCTTCCCGCATGCATCTTGCACACTGGTCTTGGAGGAAGGCTTCTACTCGCCCATGTAACCCCAGCCGCCCATGTAACCCCAGCATACTAGTATGAGCCCCAAAGATTCTTAAAGAAGTCCAGGCCATCAGGTGTGATACAGGTGTCCCGTTTCTCGAATGCACCTCCTGCAGGACCTCATTTGCAGCAATCCAGAGAATCAGCAACAGCAATGTACTTGCGAAGAGGGGGACAAGTGCATCTCAGAGGTGGGCCATGGCACCCCACCTGAAAGATTAGGAAGAATGGGAGGTTGACCTGTGAATACTCTTGTGAAGAAGGTTTGGTCCTTTTGTTCAGGAGTCCTCAAATATCCTTCAATCTTCAGATGTCTTGCTGCCAGGTCTGGAAGCAGGGTGGCCAACAGGACAGCACCGAGTTCGGCCGCACCATCTCCCCCAGCACGCAGTCTAACCACAGCGGAGCGGCTTGGATCCTTGAGGTTGGGTGGAAAGAGTCGGTTGACCTCAGATCCTTCAGCTGGTCACATCCGAGCCGTCCGTTCGCCCTCCTTCGGTGAGATTCTTGCAGGTGTCAGGGACTGCAAGAAGGGGCCCTCCCCACCTCCTTGTTGCGGGTGCTTGAACGTCTTGTCGGCAGTTCAAGGCAGACAAAAGGAAGGGCGGTGGCATCGTTTCTCTGAAGACTCTGAAGTGGACTAAGCAGGCGTGCTGGCCGGAATGTTCAAGTGGCTATGATTATCCAAAACTTAGGGTGGTTGGTTTCACCCATACTGCTAGAAGCGGAAGAAATCCAAGCACGCATGCTGACGGCAGTGCGCTGCCAGGCCAACCGGCGGAAAGAGCTCACTTCCGCTGCCACTGCGGATGGAAGGAGATGCTTGACAGTGTGATGGACTGACGGATGGGCTTGGGCGGCTCGGGTGGCCTGGGCACTTTGGGTGGCATAGGCGTGGTGCAGGCTTCGTTTCTTTGGGAGGCCATCGCTCTTAGGTTGCCATTGCTATTAGGTTGCATGGATGCGCCGCAGATATATTTGGAAGATCTTATTGTTAGCGTTTATATGCAATTCCCTGATGAACCTTTTTTCGCAGTGTGGATGGCTCGTTCGTGGTGTACCATGGGAGGTTGAAAATGATCTAGTTCTTTCATTAACAGGGTTGATCTGAAGATGAGGCTGCTTTAGAATTACTGTAGATGGTTGTTGCAAAGGGAGCAAGCCTCATTTTTCCAGGCTCAGGCCGCGATCACCAGCCTGCCCGTTAATTACATGAACAACCAATAGAGCGGAGACTACTCCATTCTATGACCATAGAAATCAACAATGGGTTTGTTCACATGTGTTTCGCTTTCTTATTTTTCATCTCGTTGAGTTATTGGTAGGTGTTCCACGGTGTTGGTCTCGTTCTGGTGCCTATGTCGCTGGCCGAGGCGACGTGGGCTCGCAGACCACCCGCGCCGAGATTCACCGGCGCAACGACCTGATCCGAAAGGAGCGTGACTCCAGCAACGTGCAGGAGCTGCGCTGGGACTCTGTGCGTGGTGTCTTCCTCACAGCGACATATGGCACCAAAAATGGATGGGGAGCCCAAACTTAGGCAGAACCCAAATACTGGATCCTCTCTAAAGGGGTTGATGCGAACTTGGAGAGAGAACACCTTCGAAGTTGGAGGAGAGGTTTCTCACACGCATTTGCATCTTCACAACTACACAGACTGACGTAGACCCATGCAGACCCCAGGACACTCACCTTGACCTGGACAGAGAACGGTTCATCACCACCGTGCAACTTGCCAAGCGTTGTGGCTGTGTGGAGTTGTTTCTGAGATGTTTCTGGCCGGTTTGACGCCACCAAGAGTTGAAGGCAAGTGTTTAGCAAGGATGCCCAAGAGAAGAGAGGCCAGTGGCACTCCGTCCTGCTTCATTATTTCCTTCGCAGGCAACGGACCACAGTCCTGCATCCTTTGGACTACCAGGTCTCGCGCCGGGCCATTGAGGAGCCCAATCCGAGCCCAGGGGATCATTTTCTCTCGTCTACATCGAACAGGCATGGGCAAGGACAGTGAAAAGAGTCCATTTGTGGTACAAGCGAGCATCAGGAGCAAGTAAGAAGCAGTTGCTGGGTAATCATAGCTTTGATGTCGCAGCAGTATCTGAGGTTTGATCAGGAAATTGTAGATTTGGAGCCTTTTTGAGCAAATCACCATCAATCAAAGTTGGGTTGTGCTTTTCTTCCCCCTTCTTTTGCCTCCCACCTAAACAGCACCCGACCTACACCCCCTCAACCCGCACCTCGGGGCACGGCGGGCACCGGAGGAGATGGAGTCCAAGCGGCGCTTGGTGCAGCGCTTGGCCGCCGAGGCTGAAGCGGCCTTTGCGCGGAAGAAGGGCCAGGCTGCAGGTGAGCCCTGTCCTTTTGCGCAGCCGGGGCGAGAGAGGAAGTGTCCAAGAGTACAAGCGCAGCACTGGGGAAGGGTGAGGGTGAGGGTGAGGGTAGTTGGTTGGAATGTTTGCAGGGAGATTTGTTGGGTCAGATGCTCCTGCGGTCGGGAGTATTGCAATATTTCCTGTTTGAGTGATGCTCGCAGGTGGGGGTGGTCGAAACGAACGAACGCCACTATAAACGCCACGACATAAAGCTACGAACGCGATCGACTCCAAATCGCCCACACTGAGCCAATTCCGTTAACCCCACCAGGGCCCTGAACCCCTAAGCTTCCCAATTCCGGCCTTCATCGCATCGCATCGGCGTGACCTGCCAGGGGAAGATCTGGATGGCGCCAAGGAGGATCCCAATCCCAAGAGCCTCGTGGAGATGCTTGTGCCAAGACATCGGCCACATCGCTTTGTTGAGAAGAAAACACCTTAAGGAGTTGGAACATGTTGGAACTGTTTTGATTTCTGGCACTTGTTGCTCACTTGGAAGTAATCAGCCTGACACATTGGCCCGGAGGGGTGCCGTGTTTGACCACGGTCCATGTCCATCACGTCACCCAACGCATTTGCCGCGTGCACGGTTCCATGGGCGACACTGCAAGCCAGAAAGCCTAACCAAGACACCAGGAAAACAGCAAATGACACCTGGTATGCCGGTATGTATATATATATATGTTGATGCCAACCCTGTAGTAGAAATATGGCATGCGATGTGCAGAATCAGAAAGTAGAAGCCGGTGGGAGCGGAAGAAAACAGCTGAAGAACTGGAAGCTTTGCTGAGAGTTTTCCCGCAGTCCGGCTTGTCAGTCCCCCGATATTGATCGCTTCGATTCTGCATCCGCCTTGGTGCGGCACATCGATTCAGGATGACCAAAGGTCGCATGAGGAACAGCGTCACTGGGAGTGTGAGCCTGAATTTGGACCCAGAGATGGAGGACAGGGCTGACCACAACATTTTTTGACGCTACTAGGAACAAGTGCCACGCTAGTAGTAACAGGTGCCTTACTAGTAGGAACAAGAAGCTACTAGTAAAGAAGAGTCGAGTTTGAAGATTGGAAGACCACAGTCTTTGACCCGAGAAGATCACCTGAGTAGTCTCACAGGTCTGAAGTCGAGGTCTGAAGAGTCTGAACGACTCAGACCGGAAGGTCAGGAAGCCGTGCCAGACGACGTTTGGTTCAACGCCTTGGAATGCTCGTGTGAAGGAGCCTGTCAACTTCACCAGCAGCTTGGCCAGAAAGGAAAGGACGATCCGATCTTGGTCAAGCCTGGTTGGGTTCTTGATGGTTCTGCTTTGTAACTTGAGTCATGAGTCGTATCCTTCTCCTACTCATTCTTTGAGGTGCCGTAGTCTCATCCTTTTCTTAGGCGTCACCAGGTCTGCCATGGCCAAGCGCCTGGCGCGTGCCAGCGCCCAAGCACGGCAAGAGCCGCAGCTGCGGCGCCTGCGCTTCGAGGTGTCGAGCCTCGTGGTCGACCCCAAGCGCCCGCGCGTGGCCGCAGGCCGCCCATGTGGCTTGGGCCCTTGGGCCTTCTTTGCTGTTTGGGGGTTTGAATTCTTCCGTCTTCGCCGAAGACGGAGTTGCTTTTTAAAGTTCAGTTGTATCACGGAATGGGTCCGTGGCTTGCAGGCATTCGAGTAATCCATGGGACCCCATGTAGTTTCATAGTTTCTGGTGAGGCTAGTGAGGCTAGTGCCTATCAATGAATCAAGCAATCAGCCTAAGAGCTTCCAGACGAGGCAAACGCCACCCCAACAGACTGCAATCATTTAGCCCATGTTCTTGTATGTTCATTTTTCCTGGCCGGATTAGCCAGGCATCGGCGATGGCCAGCTGGCGGTCTATTACCTTTTTCGCTCCCATGGCTCCAAGCGGAAGCAGTTGCATCAGATCCAAGGCTAGGAGATGGTTCTTGGGCCCGTACGTTCTGCGACAGCTCGGGTGTGACAGCTCGATGTCCAAGTGTGCCAAAAAGTAAGACTTACTGTAAGACTTATCAATGTTTTTGTGAATTTGTTTCAAGTCGGGATAAGTAGGGTGATGGCTGCAGTAACCGTGCTAGGCTTCGATGCCTCGCGTGGCCTGGGCGACGTTTGCACCGCACTGTGCCTGCCGGCTCAGCGGCTCTCAGATGAAGGGAGCATGGCCGTGGAGACGGTGCCTTGTCCAACTGCGTTGCGGGGTGTGGGGGCGGCAGGCAGGCGGCAGCAGGAGGGTTGTGATGATCAACACTGCAGGAAATGTTTTAGAGATTTTGCTTCTGCCGGTGAGCAAGGTGCCGTCCGTCTGTCCGTCGAACCGAGGTGCTTGCTGGGTTCGAAAGTGGTCGTGTCGCGGTCTTCCGCAGCTTCTTCCCAGAGGAATTTTCAATGGAGAAGCCTGGACTTCAAAAGCAGGGAGACTGAAGAATGTTGTCAATTTGCAGCATCAGCAGAATGGTGAAACATTGCATTTCTAGCGCAATCAGTGTCCACAATTTGTCTGTGTGCCGGGCCATGCCGGTTACACTGTATGTGCCGTTTACACCGATTGCACCGACCGACACGGGTTGGACATGGTTGCACTATAGCCTTTGCATTCTCCAGATCAGCACTGCTAAGGGTGGCAGCTAGACGACTATAGCTTACCAGTGCACCGTTCGCGGACACGGACGCCGAAGAAGAGCGGCAACGCTTCTGACCGTTTGCGATGCGTCACACCCATTCAAATATGTGATGTGAGGAAAGCTGATGATAAGAAGAAGAAGAAAAAGAAGACGCTGGAGCAGGCGTGCTGCATTTCACGCCTCGCAAAGCATGCAAAGCAACCAGTAACTAGCATTGTTTGGTGATGAATCAGCCTCACGGGCAAGGTATGAAGCAGCAGTTCAACCCGAACCTCGAAAATGCCCGAGAATCCTGTTGAGCCCCTGAAAACTGATGTGATATGAAGGCGTAAAGAGCAGCTCCAGATAGCTCCAGTCTGCTTGACGTTGACACACCCAACAAAACGAGGTCAAATCAAAGTCCAAGGCCCAAAACGTGTTTGTTCGCCTTGGTCGCCTACATCGTTGCTATTTCTCTCTAAGAAAATGGGCTGAGAGGTCATGGAAGAGAGGCAGAGGATCAAAAGCTTGGCGAACGGCGAGCCTGTCGTGCAGGCGGCTGGGGTGTCAGACATCCAGCAAGCAACTAGGGCCTAGGAAGAACTGATTTGGTGCGTTTTTTCTGGCAACGTCTTGGTCTTACCACTGCCATGTCAAGACGACGTGCACTTGAAGAGTGGCGGGGTTGTAGGCCGAAGAGCCACTTCTCCTGGAGCACTTCCACTGCAAGACGCCGATTGTTGCCACTTGAGCACTACAAAGGGCCGCCGTGGGCCGTGCGTGTTTTTACACCGGACCCGCACGCGCCGTACACCCACTCAGATGCGACCCCACAGGACCAAAGCCCGAAGCGCACACGGATGCCGTCATTTCATGTTTCTGATTCCGAGCAAGGGGCAGGTCCCATGTAGATTGGTTCCCACTTGGAATGTGACCAGGGTAGTTTTCATGGCCAAGAATTCTCATGGCCACAACATGACTCACGCGAGCCAGGACGCTTTGTTACTCTCCTGGCTCCTGAGGCCTTGTATTGGCACCAGATTATGGGCATTTTCAGCGTCTCCAGCACCGGTCACGTGGTGGTGGCTGACAGCTGTGGGGTCCAAACCTTTGCGATCAATGAGGCGGGGCGCATCTTTTTGAGGAACTGGAGGGGGGGAGACAGCAGCCCCTTCAAACTGCCCCAGTGCTGGACTGAGGTGCTCTTTTGTCCAAGTAGAAAGGCCAGGAGCCCCGAACGTAGCAGTGCCGGCCGGCAATGAAAGAACACCGGCCATCATCGGCCGCTCAAAAAACGGGACTCGTTCGCAGACGGAGTTCCAGGCCTGTGGGCGAAACTCCACCGTCACCTCAGCAGACCTGCGTCTTGCAACCAGGGCTGGTGGGATTGAGAGTGGGTGGAGAAGTCCGGGATCTTCAGAAGTGGATTGAGAGTGGATGGGTGGGATTGGGAAGTCCGGGAAGCCGTCATCCATGCCTAACCGTAATCCCACCCCAGTGCCGCAAAGGATTGAATTGGAATGCTGCATGGACAGACTTCAACTGTAAGAAGCCCCACTCCAACACAATGCAACGGTCAAACAAAAAGGTATATAGTTGAGGTGGTTGGCTTTGGGGCGCTCCGCGTATTTCAAGGTCACGATCCAGTAAATTAAGTTTGCATGTTTGGGGATGGTTGTACACTTCGTGAAGGCATTCACCTTCAATGCCTTTCGTGATTCAACTGAGGTCCCTGGAATTGGAACAGCTGGCAGTTGCAGGGCAGCGCGGTGTGCACTTGTGGCAGATCTTGTCGCAGGCTGCGAAAACGAGGGAATCGAGCAGAATATGCAGAATGGTGCTAGGATTAATCAACCCACCCTTCAAGGTCAACAAGGTCAACAAGGTTTGAGATTGGAGGTATTAGAGACCTCATCCCCCTAATAAAGATGATGACCTGATGAATCATGAGAGTTTGAACCATGAGAGCCATGAGAGCTCTGAGTATACTGGCACAAGCTTGATAAGAGACCTGATAGGATAGATTCCGGTGGGTGTATGACTGCAATGTGTGGAAGTGCACAGCCTATTGGATGAGGAGGGAGGGGAAGAGGCTGGGGAGGAAGATCCCATATGAGTATACATTGGCTGCACAGATTGCTGCTGGAAAGGATGGGAAGAACAAGAAGAAGGATGAGAATATATATGTTTCAAAAAGAGATGGCATGAGGAAAGGGTGGATCAGAAGATCAGCTTCACCGTGGACCAGAAGATATTGGATACTGCCCAAAACGAAATTAAGTAATAAGCACGAATTATACTCGTATTTGTTCTGGGGGGAGCTGGGCTTGATTAATCGTTTCTGCCAAGGAAAATTTTAGTTAGGATAATGGAGATGTGGAACTCAGGTTTCGAATTAATTTAGCATTGGGGGGCTGGAGCTGGGCTTGGCTAACCAGGGGAGGTTGTTTAATCCTATGCGCGAATTATTGTAATCTTGGAGATCCAGAAGGATGCAGGAGGGAAAGCTTCAGGAGATGCAACCTGCCCAGATTGGGAAAAGATGCCGGGGGTCAAGGCAGCTGTGACTGGAGTGCAGGTGTGTCGGTTCTTGGTTGGGAGTACTGGCAAAGTAGGAGACGCCCCCTACTGCACAGTTGACATAAAGCAAACGGTCTTGAAATAAGTAGCAGCTGGATTCGGGTGAAACGTTTGTATGCGTTTTGTTTGTAGACAAACGCTTGGACAAACGCTTGGCACCGCAGTTTTTCCGGACATGTGTGACATGGACTGTCTCAGAATTTTTTGCCCCTTATATATTTGTGGTGGCTGCCCTTTTGTGTTCATTGTAGGCGAAGTATGGCGTGATCGGAGTGCAGGACAGACATACAACCATCAACAAACATCTCTTCTCTCAGTCCGCTGGTGGTTGTTTTCTTGTAATCCGGAGTAGTTTTTGATTGCGAGGCCAACATGTCTAAAGTCTGACGAGGTTTGGCGGGATCCATTCTTGGGTTTCCGAGGGACTGCCCTCTTCACAGCCGTGGACGGCAGGTATGTAAGATTTGGTGAGACGAAAAGCTGAACAGACGGACGAAAGCCAAGTAACGACGCAAGACCAGATAGATAGATAGATAGATAGATAGACAGGTTCAGCTTGCATGGCTAGATGAGGTTAGGCCCATGATTGCTTCTAAATGGGGGGAGAGGACTATGGATACTGCAGGACAACACCCAGCAGAACCCTGAGCAGAACTTCAATGTGATGTTAGTGCGTTATATGCCTTCAGGGCCACCTGGCATGCAATGAGGCTTGCAGCAGTGCGGAGTTTAGGGGTATTGCCTGTCTTAATCGCGCATCATTAACATGTCAGAAGTCCTTGTGTGGTCATTGGGGTCATGAATCATAAAGAGTTTGATGGTCATGCCTGTGGGCTTCTGCGCCAGCGGCTAGCAGCCGGAGCTCTTGAGGAAGTTTCTCCTGACCCTGCACAAGGAGGGAGTGGTGAAGATTTGGGATGCAGCTCGGTGGAGACATTCCAGACTGGGAGAGCCTCAAAAGATCATGTGCTTGAGTTGTTGTGACACAAGCTGCTGAGACATGCGCCCATGATCTTTGAGGAACAAGCGGTCAGGCGGCCAGAACTTTCACTTTCCTCGGTTCTTGAGTTTTTGTGGGGTGGACAGTTCTGGCGACATACGCTGCTGAGACAAAGAAGTGCGCGTGTACGACTGTACGACTGCGAGCAATCTTGCGGCGCACCGGCACTTTGGAGAAATCCTGTTGTGCAAGCCTTCTATACAACTATAGACTATAGGAATGGGAGAAGGCTCAACATACATATTTGGTGGAAGTTTGCATCCTATCTATTTTCGGGGCCTTGCTGGAGTACTTTTCTCCCATCTTTGGCAGCTGCTGGGCAATCCCGTCCCCAAGCCCCTGGAAGCTTGATCAACTTCCAAAAAGTATCTTGAAAGCTACCAGGAGGAAAGGGCATCGCTACGAACGGAGCGATCGGACGCTACGAACGGGGCTCCTGGCCTTACTACTAGGAGCAATGTTCGCTACCAGGAACTCCTGGCCTTGCCACTAGGAGCAAGAAGCTACTAGGAGCAAAGGGCATTTCTATTAGAAACAAGAAGCTACTAGGAACAAGTGCATCGCTTCTAGTAACAAGTGCCTTACTACTAGGAGCAATGTTCGCTACTAGGAGCTACTAGGTGCAAGCTGTCTCTCCCGCTGGGTGCCAACCTCTCCCACTGGGAACGGCCCAACCGCTCCGAGTCGCGAAACCTGGAGCTGCACACCTCCTGCTTTGCCGCGCGGCGCGTGAGCTGTGCCTTTTGGGAGCCTCGCTGGGAGCCTGGGGCAGCATGTCATTGGGGAGGGGCATGGAATGAATAAAGGTCTAAAGAAAGGACTAAAGAAAGGACAACAAACAAGGACTTAACAAGGACGACCTTGAAACAAAACAATGAAAACATGAAATAGCTTAGACATGATGCTAACAGCTTCTCACATGGGAGTCTTGTTGTGCAAGAGCTTGGCCAAGAGCTTCTCCTGGTCGACTCTTCCATGCTCCCTTTGACAAGACGTGTGAGGCTTGGATCGAGGGACAGGCGTTCAACTTTGCTTGTTCTTTCATTTGTTCTTTTCACCTCCTCTATTTGTTCCTTTTGCTGGTTCACCTTCTTCTTTTCTGCTCTTCTTTTGTTCTTGTTCTTGTTCTTCTCCTTCTTCTTCTCCTTCTTCTTCTCCTTCTTCTTCTCCTTCTTCTTCTTCTTCTTCTTTGCCGTCTTCTTTTTCTTTTTTTTCTTCTTTCTTCTTCCTTCTTCTCCTTCTTCTTGTTTTCTGCTTGCTCTTTTGTATGTATGTTTGCTGTTCTGTATATTTGTTAAGCCATGGGTTAGCGTGGATAGGCCTGCTCTTCTGTTTACTGAAGGCTGGTGCCTTTCTTCGCAGGATCCTTTGTTGCGTTGGGGCGCTTCTGCGGTTGTCGAATTGGACGAGACTACAGGTTTCCGCATTTCCTTCAGGGGTTTTCTGCCTACCTCTCAGCAGACTGTTCCTCGTGTGGAGATTTATGCTGGGTTGACAGCTGCCCGGTTGTACACACGCTTTGTGCTATTCAGTGATTGTTTGCACTTTGTCTGAAAGCCTTCGCAGCTTTTGGAGCTTATTGTCCATGCCCGGAGAAGAATGGTGATCTGTGGCGCCGATTTTGGGATGCGTTGGATAGGGTTGACCTTGTGGCTAGCTCGGAATCCAGGCGCATTTGGATCCGGCACGGGTTGCAGGTTTTTCTCGCGTTTTTGGGATGGGCAATGCCTATGATGCTGATCACGTTGCCAAGTTGTTGTTGCAGACTGCTTTTAGGCACCTTGATGCCTATCAGAAGGTCGTTCAGCAAGTTGCGTGGCGGCGGTGGCAACGTACTGTATCCTCCAACTCTTTCATCTGGACGCTGCACTTTTCTCCGTGTCGGGCAAATTGTCCCCCGGTTCAGGTGCGGCTGGGTCGTAACTTTTCCGCGAAGGTTGGTGCCGTAGAATGAGTGCCTTCGGATGGAGGTCCAGGCCGGGTTTCATGTGCGGTTTTTGCGTGGTTTGGCAGGTTGGTTGGCCCCGCTGCAGTGGTCGGTTTCTACGCTCGGCGAGGACGGCGAGGAGTGCTGGAAAATCTCATGGCTGGAGTTGTTCTGGCAGTGGGTTTCAGACACGGGTTCTCTCCCGCCGGTTTTGGTCGATGGCAGGTGGGTTGATTCTCTTGATGCTCCGGATGTGGTTTGGTGTTTGCCTGGTGTGTTGGTGTTGTTTGCTACTTGGCGACGAGGGGTTCGGTGCTGCGGGGTCTTTTGCCGGGATGGGGCAATGCTTCTGGGTTGGGTTGCTTTCTCTAGAGAGAGCAGTGCTTGACTTGCGGTCTCAGCTGGGTGTGGCACGTTCGCTCGGCCCGCTCCGTTTGTCACATTTTTGGTGTCCTTCAATGTTTTGTTTTGTGCTATGTGGCCCGCGGAACTAGACCGCCAAAGAACATGCTCGAAATCTTGAGCAAGTCTTGAGAATTATATATATATATGTGAATGTATTTTGGAATCCCCAAACAAAACCACTCGAGGGAACATGCACCGACCGTCGCCGAGGAGACCCTTTTCGTGTTCAACCCTGATGGGGTGACTGAGATCGAAATACACGAGGATAAGCTGGAAACCCAGGAGTGCTGGGATACTGCGCATCAGGGATTAGCAGAGTGTGCAGCGGTGCTCTCAGGGAGGATGAAACAATGCCATTGATGAGGGGCGTGCTTCATCCTTTTGATCCGTGAGTGGCTGTAGTAGTTAACTTGCTCCGATCAAACTGAAGGACTTGTTTGGACTTTGTTGTGTGTGTGTGTGTATGTGATCGCTTGCACCTTTGTGCCTTTCAGGACCTGAGCAAGACCATGCGAATGCCCACGTTGCTCTTTTCAGATTGACTTGCCTGCAGACCCGGCAATGATAGATGAACCATGATCAACCAATATTATGACTTGGCCGTTCATGATGCATTAGAGGGGGGCAGTCTTTCTTACTGGAGCTTCCCAGAGCCGCCACCTGCCATGTGACAATCATTCTCCTTCGCACCCCGCGAAAAGCGCGGGGCCGGCGCACGGGCAAAGATCATGGGATGTGCAAACATTTGGCAATCTTAGACGGTCAAAAGCTGCAAGAGTTCCAACGCCCTGATTCAAGCCCAAGCGCAGAGCTCTATCCGGGGAAATGACCCGGCGGCATGGCCTTTGCCATGGCAAAAAAGAGTGTCTCAATATAGTGATACGAAACTGACACGGTTCTTTCAATCGTGACGGACAATCTTCATGATTCATTGGAACCATATTCTGGTTTCAGTCGATGTCGACCATCCGTCATCACCAAAGATACAAGGTGTCAAGGAATGGGTTGGTGATTTGTGGCTGTCCGGTTAGTAGGGATGGAGGCCATCGCGTTTTGAGGTTGAAGGCCATGGCTATTAGGTTCCTTTTGCTCTTCGGTTGGAGTTCGGTTGGATGCGGCACTGACCGAGGCAAATCAGCCCCTCCGATGCCCAATGGCCCTGGCTTTGGCTTATTCGCCGGGTGCTCGGTCACGGGCCTCGAAGTGGGGAGGACCGGAATGGATGGCGCCAAACGACAGAAACGTCGTTTGGAACACCTTAGACCGCACATGACCTCACTCTTCCTTACAGATCCTAACAGAAAGGGTGGCTCTTCAGGGTGTTCCAATCCTCGAATCGTGGAATTTCAGCGTCCCTGCTGTGTTCAAGTCCAGCGTAGCTGAGGTGGGGCAGCCGCGCTTGGGACCGCGGGGTGGCCAAGAAAGGTATTGAGCGGGTGAGCCGAGATTGCCGCCTTTGCTGCAGATCACGAGGAGCGTTTAGGTCCGTAAAGGCTGCCAAAAGTTGAGGATTGCTCAAGCCACCAGTGAGTTCATTTGTCATTTTGGTTGGGGCACGTGAGAGGCGTGAGTCAAGTGGCAAAAGCCACTTTACTGCGGGGCGCATGGCACACCCGAGGTCCGGTGGAAGTGCCAACGTACAGGGCCTGAGAGTTTGGTGGCGTCTGCCGACAGTAGGGAAACACACGCTCAACGCTCGTCCCCGGTTTTTACTTGGTGACGTGGCGGTGTTGTGTTCCGAACATCCAGTGGCGCTTGACATCTCTGAAAGTCTCAGATGGGTTTCTTTGTTTCAGCAGCCTGGAATGGGCAAAATGGAGCAATCACCACTGACCTTTCTGGTTTGTCCCCGTTAGGTAACCGTTAGACAGTTGCACTATGTTGCACCAAATTCACTCTTCAGTTGCATTTTTGCCCTACAACACTGCCGAGTCTGTCAGTTGGATTCAGCACCCTGCGCTCTAAGGGCCCTCAAGGCCCGGGCATGCGCGGGATGACGGCCTTCAGGACGAATCTCTCGGGGGCGCACGGTTTGGGGAGGGCATTGCGCCAAGGCGAACGTGGGCGAACGTTTCCTCAAGCTGGAGGGTGCCCTGCTTGCGTGTATGTTGTGGGGGGGAAGGGGTTGTGCAACTTGACATTTTGTCAAGTGGCCGCCGTGGATGAGCATGGACCTGTGCAATGCGATGATTGTCTCCACAGCGTTGGTCAACAGCTGAGGTGAACATCCACAAAAACTAGGCCGTTGTGCTTGAAACTTGAAACAGCATGCTGCTTTTGTGCGAGGACAGGCGGACCTGTTCGTGCGAAGGCTGGTTCCCCGATCATCGACCCCAAGCATTTAACCACTTGGCTTGGCCCGTAGACACTGCATTGATCGTTCAAGTGGGGTGTTCCTCCAACAAGCCTTCAAAAGCCATCGTGTTCCCAACTCTTCCCTTCTTCCTGAATCGGTCGCAGGCCAGCGTCTTGGGCGAGAGCGAGGTGCCGCGGCGCAACCGCCCGGCCACGGCCTCGCCGCACCAGCGCGGCTCCTCGCGCACGGCGTCGCCTGCGCGGGGCGAGAGCCCAGCGCCCAGCCCGGTGCCGAGCCCCTCGCCGCAGCGGCCGAAGCTGCGGGCGTACCCCGCGTCGCACATGCGCCGGGCGCCCTCGCCCACGCCAGCGTTCAACAAGACGCCCACGCCGGGCATGGCGGCGAAGCCGCGGTGGCGGAGCTAAAGGAGGTGAAGGCAGGGGGATCTAGGGCTAGGGTAGCTGGGAAGTGGTGGTAAAACATGATAAGTTGGAATGGGCTATGAGTATGATATCCATGACCCCTCTCCAACTTTTGATCTCCTCCGCTTTCCAACTGTTCCTTTTCTTGTCAGGCGTCAGCAGGTTTTGTTGTATGCGAGTCATTTCGATAGATCAGCCACGTTGCCGTCAGCCAGGCAAGTGAGCCTGCCTGAGAAATCAAGGTGGCGTGGAAGTTGTGCATGGTAATCATGGTATTTGGTTCCTATCCCCACCCTACCTAGAATTTTTGAGGGCCTGATCGATCTGATCGGGTTCAAAGCCTGTCCAGCAGGTTTTGACTAAGTGTGAATACAGTTTGACAATGCGCAAGTGATTGCTTCAAGCCAGCAGCTCCACATGTTGCTGTTTCCCATGCGCACCTTCTGCTGCTCGCCTCGGGCCCAAAGGGGTTCTAGATTCCACTGGCGCCAGTGGCAATCCCCGGAATGCGGTTGATTTGCATGTGAGTGCAGAGGGTTGGCGGACTGACAGTCATACGAACCAAGGCCGGTGTTTATCCGACTCTTGAGGTTACTGCATACTGATCATGCAGACCTGGTCGGCGATGATATACCCTTAATATATGCGTCGATCACTTATTTTGGCATGATCCGATCCCTTCGTTGTGTCGCATCGAAGATACTACACATTACGCCAGTGAGAAGAGTGGATGCACGTGTTCATCCCTGCACTCAGATTTCCGACCGGCACAGCTCGCGCACGGAGCCTTGCGGTGGCTCAGAATGGCACGAAGGTCGTTTGTCTGTGGGAGCCTGTGTTGTCACAAGCCTTGCACGAGGGGCTCGTCCAGGTGTCTTCGGAATGAATCGAAGTGACCTTCGATCAGTGTCAGACTTGAGCCACTGTGGGCATGTACTTCGGCGGGATGGACATTTGCAACGCTGCAGGGGTCTCGCCAGGCCACCTCCACACGATGGAGGTTGGCCTGGACAGTAACAAGCAGGTGTAGGGAGGCAGCACGCTGTGGCCTTGTCCGAAATGGGGGCAAAGGGCTTGTCAAGGCTTTTGGATGTATTGAGAATCGACACACCCCTCCAGATGCAGAGGTCTGAGTCTCTCGCCCATTTTACGCACGCACGACCCCGCGTGCGCGCGATACCCGAGCCGATGGTGGGCGCGCAAACCTCCGACCTTACCGTAGCTGAGAATAGACCTCCACTGGCTTGTCCCTTTGCTTTTTTTGAGCGCCAACCTCTTCTTGGCCGGGAAACCTGCTGTCGCAAGGTGAGATGGAACAGCATCGTTTTCCCAGCAATACCTTTAATTTGTATTCCAGTGGTGCGAAGTGATTGCTTTTAAGGTCCGGTCACCTTCTCAACAGACTAAGTGACGTTTTGACCCAAATCAGTCAGTGGTTTGAATCGGTGGGTGGAGGTGTGTGAGGTTCTTCCAACCAAACTTCGCGCGTGTCTTGCGAAGCAGTTCTTGCAGCAAGAAGCGGAGCTGGACGAAGCTTCCTAATGGAAAGAAGGGTTGAAGATGGGTGAACGTGTATTCAGGATGGGGTGGGCTTCCTAGAAACATTCAGTTTCCAGACGCACCTTCTGATGCAAAAGAAGTCCTCAGACAGCAGCCCACAAGCTACCCGCAATCCCTGGCAGATCACTGCGACAGAGGGCCAGGTATCATGTAACATAGGGCAGTGAGCTGTCAAGAGGTCAGCACTCATAATGGCTTCTGCTTCCTCACTGGTCCTTTAAAAGCAGCGCCGAGGGAAGCGCAGTTGGATGTGGAAAGATGGTGACTGTTATTGGATATCAAGCGATCAAGGTTTAGTTTAGTGGCGGAATATTTTGCAAGTCTTGGTGGGCCAGTGGCAGCCAGTGGTGTGGAGAGGGTTACATTTCGAGGTCCTTGGTAAGTAGAGGTGCAGCCAGCCGAATAGACTAGAAAACTGGAAGTTGCTCCAGTAAGTCTGGAAGTTGTCCTTCGTTGTGTGGAGGTCCTTGTTGTAGTCGTGTTTTTTCACGAAAACCGCGATGGATGCGCGGAGCGTCTTTCTTCCGATGCCCTAGTCGACCTCAGTCTGTGGAAAGCCATCTGGCTCAAGTGGTCAACGTTCTCAAGCAGTGCCCGCAACATTCTGGGTTGGAAGCAAGGTAGCCGACCAATTTGTCCCTCTCAAAAAGACAGGGCCGCCACACGAGTGTTCACCTCCCATTTTTCCTGCAGTAAGTCTTACCACAACCTCCGCCAGTACGTTTCGAGGTGCGGGGACACAAGAGTTTTTGGCCCAAACCCTTCAGTTGATTCATTTGTGAGGGCAGCTCTACACCAAACAGTCAAGTTTCAAGCACTTGTTCGCACAGCTTTCATGTTAAGCCAAGTTGTCTCAAGCTCGCCTTCACAGTCTTTTGCTGTGTCCACTTCGCAGCCTGAAGATGACCAAAGCGGCTAAAGCGTACTCAGATGCGGCTAAAGCGGCAAACCGAGTCAACAACCGGTGAGGCTGAGAGTGCCACCACACATGGCGTATCCATGCCCAAAGGAGGCAGAAGAGGCGAGCACCCCGGGCTCTAGTCAGGCATGGGGTGATATAGAAACCTTTGGAAGAAGCAAACCGCTGGAGGATCATGTCAATAGAGGCTTCCTTGTTTGTCAATACCATGTCAGAAGGGTTTGTCCCGTCTTCGAGTTGGAGGGGCAGATGCTGAGGACCGTGTTGATCCCAAGCTCCATCAACCCAGGTCCGAGACAAGTGGAGCGAGAGCTTTTGGTGACCAATGGGCTGCTCGATTGCACCGGGCTCCAACATGGTTGTAAGATGTTGTAAGCGCAGGTGACTTCGAAGGCAAAGCCAATATAAGATATTCCATGACACTTGACACCATGAAGGTAACAGCAATAGCAGTGCCCTATGTAGAGCCATTCAGGGCCTCCTCAAACCGGGGCGGTGTTCCGAATGCTATCGAGGTAATTTGGCCGAAGCTTCGGCCGAGTCACGCGTCCGAGTGATTTGCCTTCGAAGAGTTAGAAGAGCCACCAACCTAATAGCGGCCTCCAACCTACCAGCAATCCTCCAACCTACTAGCAATGGCCTCCAACCTAAAAGCCATGGCCTCCAACCTAGTAGCGATGGCCCCCAACCTGCAAGCGATGGCCTCCAACCTACTAGCAACAGCCGAGTGGAACTTGCGAGGCGTCCCTTGCCGCCAGATCCCAAGGATCAGGAGCCCGAGGCCAGGTGCTCGGCACCGATGGAGAAGCTGCAGCCGATCGCTGCACCACCCTTCCACAAAAAAGGCTCATATAGGGCTACAGTATATACAAATGAGCCATACAGTTTTTTCAAGGACTGGTGGGTCGTCAAGAATTGGAGCAAGGTCATTGGTGATGCCCCCCAATCACCCAAAGGAAAACAGGATCGCTAGAGATCTTCTTCGTGGATCCACTGCAGTTACCTACAGCCAGGACCCTGATGCGCGCCCCTGCCGTTGCGAGGTGTGCTTGCAGGTGCTGGGCCATGGGGCCAGGGAGGGAAGAGCTTTCCAGCAGATCCACATGAAATGATGTTCAATTCACCGTCCAAACCTCTTAGTCTTTGGATGATGCTTCAAGAGGCTGCTTGGCTTTGGCGGATTTGAGGCGTGTTGCTTGGGCGAATTGCTGTCCAAGGTTCGATCCTGGGAGGTCCAGGGCGGCCCAAACGAAAGCCATTGCTGCAGCCATTGAGGCTTAGCTGCCGGAAGCTTCCGATCTCCCCCATTTTCGGCACCACGCGAGAACGGGAAAACACCACGTTCGGACGTCCGCGGATCACCAAGACGGCCCTCTGAGCGGCGAGTGAAATGACAGCAAACAGATCGGCTGAAGGCAAGTTTTGGGGGGGATTGGATGGGTGGTGCTCGACAAAAGAGAAAAGACCTTGGCCCGCGCCTGAACTGTGGGCAATGGGCAGGAATCATGGAACTTCACACTTCCTGAGCTTCATCACGAGGTTGCGGTGTTTGCTAGTGTTTTGGTGTTGTGGCCGTCCACGATCCACAGACACCTCACTTTACACTGTCAACTCTTCGGCACCTGCTGTTCTCCCAGAAGCGACGCGGGCGCTATGGAGGGTGCTGGGCTGCGCTCCTGTCGCTGTGGCTGCTGCTCTGGGCAGTTCGGACGGCGCTTGGATTTGGTGGAGGCCAAAGTCTTGTTTCTTGGCTCAAGGGGCCATCAATGCCCACATGATCACTTGCGCAAGCCATGCACGTCATGTATATGGGGGGGGACTCCATGCGACCTTACCATAGCTATAGCCATCTCCTTGCGAAGCTTGGGAGATGGAGGGAAAGGTTGGAGGACGCAGCGACCGCCGGATCGAAGGCGCCGGAACTCGCGATCGACCTGATCCCGCCATTGAGGTCCCACTGGCACGAGTTTGTGCTGTACAAGTCTGAGGCCACAACGTGGGTTGCGGTCTGCTTGCTAGTGTCCTCTCGGTTCTGAACAGCAAATCAGCAAAGCCTGTACCTCTCAAGCACTTAAGACGCTTTGAGACGTCCCATGGCCTCTAGCCTTTGTTGGGCCAACACCACAAAGGAGTTGAGGTTTTGGCAGGGCCACGGAGTTCTATGTCATGAAGCAAAAGTTTGAAAAGATCTCAAAATCAGAGATGTCAGAGGTTGTCGCCAGAGATCTGCAAAATCGTTGATTTTGCATTGACAAGCGTCATGACCTAAGATTTGGAAAAGTTGTATGTCATCTCGGACCACTTGGCCTAAGGCATCTGACCCCAGTATAACTCACCCCCACTGGACACCTCCACCTTGTTTGGCGGCGTCAGGCGCAGCGGAAGTTCGAGGACCTCTTCGCACGGCGGCGGCACGGCGGGCGTCTGCCGGCAGAGCGTGCGGAGCGCACGGAGCTGGAGCGGCGGGTTCTCCAGGTCGAGGCGGGGCACAGCCAACGAAAGCTGGGTGGGTTTGTTTGTGCTTTATGATGTCCGATGCGTCCTTAGTTTAAGAAGTTTAAGCTTGAAAGTGACAAGTTCAGCATGTTTGATCATGTTCGTACAGGAATGAAGCCAGGCAATTCCCTTTTGGTTGGCCAAGAGAACGGGTAGGGTCGCACAGGGGAGCCCCAGACCACACCAGCTGCAAACCCTTTCCGCTCAGGAGAAGCACGCTGAGCGTTTGGAAGAGCTCAGGGAGGCTGTGGGCGCGTGTGTGCTGCGGGAGGATCTCGGGCGCTTGTGGCAGGACGGCCCCTCGAAGACTGGAGCAAAGAGTGGCCACCTATCGACCTATTGCATTGATTTTGGGAGTTTTGCACAGGAACCCTGCCAGAAGGTGATGGTGTTGAAAAGATGAGAAGGTTTGCCAACAGCGTCCGGCAGTTACCAGTGCGATTCAAATGTGCTGCTATTCATGTTCCTACTCTTCAATTTTATCAATCGCGTGACTTCGCACGACTGTTCCCACCACTGCTGCTGCTCCTGCTGCGACCGTTTCGTCGTCCCTACCACCAACATGCTAGATCTTGCTAACATTCCAAATATACAACAAAATGTACAGCATACAAAAAATAGACTAATATTGGTTCTGTTTTCTTGTCATTGTACTTTGCAGTAGTTGACGCCACTTATTTCAGGTGTCCATTTGGAACCTCCGGCGCTTTGTTGCAATTCGGCAACGTGTTCTAGCTACCCAACACGTCAGCAAGGAGCAAGGCTACAATGACGATCGCCTAAATGCGCTGCTGGAGCAACGAAACCACCAACTGCAAGGCCTTGTGGCAAACCAGGCCGAAGGGTGAATGATGGTTTGTTTGATGGTAAAGGCTGCAATTGAATTGTCTTTGTTCCGATTTTGGCGACATGTTCCAAAGAAAAGATCCCTCTTCCGACTCTTCCCAATTGCTCAGCATTTGGCACCGTCGAAGGGCCAACGGCTGTGCTCGCAGACGCGGCGTCTCCTGAGGTGGCTGAGCTGCGGGCAGAGGTGGAGGAGGTGTTGCAGAAGCGTGGCGAAGAGGTGACCCAGCACATCCAACAAGGCGGGCGAGCCGCGATGGACATTTCAGGAGCACATGTAAACACACCCTGAGGCTATTGCTAGTAGGTTGGAGGCCATCGCTATTAGGTTGGAGGCCATCGCTTAGGTTGGAGGGCAGAGTGGCCTTTAAAAGGAGTTGTTGGCTTTGGCCCTTGAGGGCGGTGTCCAGTTTGTTCAGAGAGAGGTAGCTTTGTCAATCCGGTGTCCAGTTTGTTCGCCTTTCCAGCTGAGCTGCGGCGAGGTCACGAGGACCTCCTCCGCCTGGCACAGACCGTGGCGCAGCATGGGGTGACCTCGGCCATGGTGGAGCTCACCTCTGAGGCCGGTGTTTCTGCGGATGGGTGCGAGCGGGGGGTTGGTATGAGTGTGGCCAGAATGAGAGAATTATTTGGAGTTTGGGGTGGTTGTGTCCAATGAAAGTGGGGAACATTGGAACCACTGAAGTCAAAATCAATGAGCTTGGAACAGATGCTTTGTCGTACTTGAGCTTGGAAACGTGCAAGACACATGTGACACGTCTTCGATCTGAATAGTCTAAGAGTCTACGGGGATACTGGGATACTTGTAATTCCTTGTTGCGCAGTGTTCACTGAATTTGTGGAAAAAGTATTCCGAGGGCCCAAGGCGGCGTGTCTATCCCGATGCCATTCGAAGGAGCTGTAGGTCGGAGGGCTTGAACGTGCAGCGTCACATGGGTAAGATGACCATAGATGACCCTGACCCTGAATGTTGACTATTGAGCATAGAATATGCCATACCTAGGAATAGCTACAGAAGGGAGGAGGGAGTGTTGGCCATTTTGGCTCAAGAGCACTCCCCCTCCACCCATATGGAGGAAAGTTTAACGGTAGGTTCGAGAGGCGCGCGTGGCCATGGCCTTGTTTGGGCTATGGACGGGATTGAGTGCCTTCCAGGACTTGCCGGACATTTTGGATCACTTTAGGTTGGCGGGCGACGAGGTATGGGCCGCGGTGATCTTTCATGTGGGTGATCCCGGTAACAACATCGGTTTGTTTTCAGCTATCGCTCGTGGTGCTCTTGTGGCGGCGTGTGGCACTGCCGTGACTAGTCGCGGCCCTTTGACACCGTTGGAGGCCACGCAGGTGGGGTTGGTTTGGCGCCTGAGCAAGCGAGTCATGGCCTTCAGAGCAGGAGTAGCAGAGGAGCAGTTCGTTGATGAGGACCCATGGAGACAGTGGCGCCGGTCGGTGGAGGAACTACAGCAGCACCTAAGGTCAACCCCCAAGGAGGTCCGGACTCAAAGAGAACGTGCTGAAGATGCAGTCGAGTCACTGATCGACCAATGCGATGAATCAGAGTTTATGCCGCCGGATGCGAGAGATGTGAATCGATGGTGGCAAAATTACATTGCCATCATGGGAGCACGCCCAGAGGAGTCAGAGGAGCCGACAAGTTCTCAAGTGGCCGCCTTGGCAAGGAGAGTCATCACCAACAATCAAGCCCTCTACTGTGACTTCGCTATGTGGCTGCCGTATGGACGGAGGACTTCGAAGACACAGAAGACCAGGACGTATACTCCGTTGGGAGATGGGACGTTCTTGTACAGGGACATTCCGGGGCCCGGATCCTTCCAGGCCTGGACGTGCTTATGGAAGGTCTTCAAGTCTGCAGTCCTCATGCTCAACATCGTCAACTTGGCAGCTCTGGAGTTGTACTTCAAGCACGTGGAGAAGTTGGTCATACAGTACCCCAGTGTTGGTCGCTTATCGATATACACAGCGGAAGATACAGCTCGTGCGGAACGACTTGAGAAGATATTCGTCGACTGTTGGACATTGACGGAGGCAGAGGTCGTCAAGTGCCAGAAGACTGGGACCCGATCAACCTGTGGTCGCGCGTGTTCCGGGAGCTAGTCAAGGACACAGCCTTTTGGTCAGAGAAAGTGCATCACCCCGCAGCAGCTTGGATCGGAGCAGGCAGGCGGGGAGCTCCGAAAGTGGCATCCGAGGCTCCTGCTTAGGCCAAACACGGAGTACAGATCCCCGCTGGACGCAGAGCTACAGCTGGCAGGCGGCAGCACGTGATCCGGCGTGTGCATCCAGCAGTTCAGGGAGGGGGTACCGTTGGGCATGGCAGCAAAGATACCCCCATCAGGTAGTGTGTTTCCTCCAGCAAGGCACACAGGTCGAGTTCGAGGAGTGCCAAGGGATGTTGAACTACGCGTCCGTACAAGATTTTCTAAAGGAGGCCGGGGAGGAGATAGCGAGATACGAGGCGAAGGGCTTCGCGCGGCAGCGGTGCGGGACGCATACAGCATCAGCACAGTCTCAAAACTTGCCCTGATCCTCAAAACCAGGGCAGATGGCACGGTGAAGAAGAGGATCGTAGTGGATATGTTGAGGAGTGGAGGCAACAGTCGTATCACGCTGCTGCGGGTCCCAGATGTGTTGGGATCAGTGCGGAAGATGGATGAGTGGGAGCCACCATTCCCAGCAGATCCTCAATGCACCA